CTGATGCGTCGTGAGGCATGCTGAAGGCCCGCCGAAGACCATGAAGGCATTGTGCACCTCGGGGAACCTGTCGTCCTTGTCATTGTCCCCGCCGCTAGCACCCCTCTTCTTGGCATCGTCGTTGGGGAGCCCGAGCTTGGCGTAGTAACGCCGGAGCATGGTGCACTCTTCAAGGGTGTGCTTCACCGGGCCTTGGTCGTAAGGGCATGGCTTCTTAAGCATGTCGTCTTAGAGCCCGGGGCCTCAGGGATTCTTGCAATCCGCGGCTGCGATGAGATCGGCCTCGAGAGCCTCTTGCTTTCCCTGGCGACCCTTTTTCTTTTTCTTGGAGAGACGGGGGGCAGAGGCCCCCGGGGGCTCATCCCTCCGCTTCCCCCCGTCGTCATTGCCGGGGAAGATGGCCCCGACAGCCTCTTTGCCCGAGGCGAAGTTGGTGGCGATGTCGAGGAGTGCGGCCGCCGTGGTCGATACATTCCGGCCTAACTCTCGGACCAGGTCTCGGCATGAGGTGCCGGAGAGGAATGCTTGGACAATTTCCGAGTCGCCAACGCGGGGCAACTCGGTGCATTGCTTGGAGAAGCGTCGGGTGAAGTCTCGGAGAGACTCATCCGACCTCTGGCGACAGCTCTTGAGGTCCTAGGAGTTCCCGAGGCACACGTATGTGCCCTAGAAATTCCCGACGAAGACATTTACCAAGTCACGCTAGTTGTGGATCTGCAAGGGAGGGAGGTGTTCGAGCCAGGCTCACGCCGAGTCTAATAGGAACAAGGGGAGGTTGCGGATGATGAGCAGGTCGTCGTCCACGCCGCCTAGCTGACAAGCTAGGTGGTAATCGGCCAGCCACAGCTCAGGGTTGGTCTCGCCGCTGTACTTCGAGAGGTTGGCCGGTTGTCGAAACCGGGTCAGGAAGTGGGCGCTACGGATGGCCTTGCTGAAGACTCGAGGGCCAGGTGGCCCGGGAGAAGGACTGCGGTCCTCCCCACTGTCATAGCAACTGCCTCGGTGCGGGTGGTATCCTCGGGTGGGCCCCTCGTTGTCGTGGCGCCGTCGCCTGCTGACCACATCGTGGTCGCCTTGTGCCTCGCGTTGGTCGCCGAGGCGGTTGTGCACCGAGGGGGCCTTGTTGGCTTTGTGTGCTCGAGCAGGCTCAGGGTGGACCATGGCCTCTCTATCTTGTCGAGGCGGTGCCGTGGGCTGTTCCGAGGTGTCCCCACACCATTGAGACACGGAGCTTTTGGCCTACTGTACCGCGGCGGTTTTGAGAAGGTCTCGGAGTTCACCGTGGACCCGTCGTCCCTCCGAGGTAGATGGCTCGGGCATTGTTCGGAGTAGCATCACTGCTGCCGCGATGTTCTGGCTAGCGCAATTGAAGATAGGGGGTTGCTCGCCCCTTTCGTCGTTGTTGATGCGGTGGTCGACGTCGCGAGCCCTCCGCCGGGCTGCTCCACCATCACCGCGACCCCGCTGCTCTCGCTCGAGAGTGTCTCTGAGCTGCTGCAGAAGGAGTCGGTCTTGTTCGACCTTGGTCTGAAGCTCACGGCTGCTCCAGGTCTAGGCATCGAAGTTCCTCGGGGCGGGGGGGGACACCGTCCCGCACTGGCGGGGGCTCGACGCGTGGCGGTGTGGCATTGCCTAGCCCCCACGTGGGGCAGGGGGTGATTGCTTGCCCCTTCGTCTTCGTCGCCCGTGTTCGGCATCTCGAGCTTGACGTGGAAGCACTCACGAGTCGGGTCATAAGCATCTTCGTCATCGGAATCGGAGTAGCCGAAGCAGTAGTCGCTCGCGACCATGAAGCGGCGCATAGCTTCAGGGTCGCGAAGCCTGGAGAAGTCCGCTCCGGCCCACGCCTCGTCCTCCTCCGAGGAGTTAGCGTGGGCATGGGTCGGAGTTGCGACAATGAGGTCGAGGGCAGAACGTTGATGGCATCTTGGGGGTTCTGTGTGAGCGGAAGCGTAGGCGGCGGCGGCATCGCTCAACCCGAAAGGGTACGGAGATGATGTCATCGCCGGGCTCTACTTCACCGGAGTCGTCTCCCCAGGAGGTGGCGGGGTAGAGCTTGATGACGGGGTGTCGCTGCGTGCTACCGGCGTCTTTCCCTTGCCCAGGCCTAAGCTAGACAGGTCCCCAGCCAGGGACTCTGCACCAGCAACCAGGTGTGGGAAACCGGCGGAGCGCGAAGCGTCGCCCTAAACTTGCGTGGTGTTGGGGTGGTTCTGCTTGCGTCGTGCCTGGCGAGCGCGACAAGAGCGGCGGCCCGGGCACCGCCTGCGCCTGGGCTGCTGGTGCGTGATATCGTCATCGGTCGATGGGGCTCTGGGTGGGAGGAGTACCATGTCGTACTCGTCTCCTAGAGACATGAACTCTAGGCTCCCAAACCAGATCACCATGCCGAGATGCCGTGGTCGCACGGGGTCAGCCATCCGGAACTTGTTGGGATGACTAAGCTGACACGTAGTATATCCCCTACCTGGCACGTCAACTGTCGGTGTTTTGGACCGGTGGATCCTCAACCAACTAGTGAAAGTGTACTACGTGCCCCTAATCTGGGATGGTGATGCAAATAGACACAAGGTTTATACTGGTTCAGGCAATAGGTGCCATACGTCCAGTCTGAGAGAGCGATCTTGTATTTCTTGCACCAAGGTGCTTGTAGTAGGGGTTTACAAGCAGGGCGAGAGAGGGAGTTAGTCCTAGGTCTCTGCGTGGAGCGGCATGGGTTGCTTGAGATGTTGATCTCTTGCAGTGAGGGAGCGTGCGTATTACAGAGTGTTGCTCATTGCTTGTGCGTGTGTGTCTATCTGAGCGATGTCTCCGTCCGTGCCTCCCTAGAAACGGCCCCGGTCACTCCCTTTTATAGTTGAAGGGGAGGACAGGGGCGATACATGTGTTCGCTACGTGGCGTTTTGTGGGTGGAGGCGGTATGTTTGAGCCCTGTGCTTGTCACTGTGGCGGCATAGTCGACGGAGCGGTCTTGTCCTCGGTGCACTGGAGCGACGCGCCGGTCACGCCCGATCCTATGCGACGTGGGGGCTCTTGTGATGGCTTGACACAGGGCATGATGCAGACTGTGGACAACATGCCGGTCGTTGTATGTCGACAACGTAGAGAGCCGAGGCCCCGTCGGTGCAGAAGCTGAACCATTGTGGGGGGCTCGGCGGGCGCGAGTCCCGAGGCTACAGGGGTGCGGAGGCGGGTAGCCGAGGCTCGGAGGGAGCAGTTGGTCTTTTATGCTGATTCCGAGGCTACAGGGACCCGGGCATGACTCTCCATGCCGCCTTTGCCCTCGGGCGGGTGGGTTTAGGTAGCCGATGCCGCATGGGTGTCGATCGTCGAGGCACGATGCCGAGCACACAATGACGGTAACCCTGCCCCCCCGTCCCGGACGGCGTGGCGTTGATGCGACTCCCATCTCATCGGTCACTCCGCTGTGTCGAGCCGTCGTTCGGCTGACGTCGCGGAAGTGGTTGGTTGCGTTAGTTGGACGTGACGTCCCGGTCGAGGCGGCGGTGACGGGGTACCTGCCGAGCCGGCCTCGAGCGAGGCGGAGAATCGGTACCTCGTCCGAGGCCTTTCGGGCGGGGCCTCGGGCGAGGCCTCGGGCGAGGCGGAGAGTTGGTACCTCGTCCGAGGCCTTGCGGCGTGGGCCTCAGGCGAATCGGAGAATCGGCCGATGCCTCGTGGTTGTCTCTTGGCTTCGATATTTATAAGGTCTAAGCAATTTTTTCGGTTCTTGCTTAGGGTACCCCTTTTTATGGTATCCGACAATAGTTTTAGCCAAATAGTACTAAACATTTCTGATGCACATGTATAAATAGTCAAATATACTTGCCCCTCTTGTAATCAATACAAAGATCTTTGTCTTTAGATCTCAGAGTCTTGGCTTTCGTCGTCAAAGGCTCCATTCGCTTCGCTATAAAAACAAGCCAAAACACTGTTCTTGCTGATTTAGTGTGAGAGAAAAATATTGTTTCGGCTAAAAAAATAAGCTACGAATTATAAGAGAAGCGAACGGGGCCAAAACTACAAATGCCGAAACTCCCAGTCCACTGATATATTATTTTAATGCAAGTAGCTAAGTAGAAAACGGTTAATGCCGATTTGTTCCGAGAGAAAACGCTATTGTTCGACTAAAATGGTAACGAAGAGCGTCGAGTTCCACTTCTACACTGCCTACACTGCCTGGCGCCTACCACAAATCGAGGAAATCTCAAGGTCAAAGTAGGGGGGCGTTTAGTTCCCACCAAAATCCAAACTTTGACACTATGCAAAAAGAAGATTCCTCGTCACATCAAACTTGCGATATATACATGGAGTACTAAATGTTGACGAAATTAAAAACTAATTGCACAGTTTGGTCGTACTTTGCGAGACGAACGTTTTGAGCCTAATTAGTCAACGATTGGACAATAATTCATAAATACAAACGAAACGCTACACTGTGCTACAGTGCTGGCACAGTGATTTTGGTTGTCCAAAATCGGACAACTAATGCCCTATTTAGATCCCACCCAAAATCCAAAAATTTTCAAGATTTCCCGTCATATCAAATCTTACGGCACATGCATAGAGCATTAAATGTAGGTAAAAAGAATAACTAATTGCACAATTTGCCCATAATTGACGAGACGAATCTTTTAAGCCTAAATAGTCTATAATTAAATAATTTTTATCAAATACAAACAAAAGTGCTACATTAACAAAAACAAAAAAAAATTCACATCTAAACGGAGCCTAAACAAGGGCTAGATTCCCAAATCCTAATCCAGAATTCAATATCCATCCGTGGAGCAGCTAGCAATCTCATCCTGTCCGACAAGAAAGTAAATTAGTCAGCTACTTCGCCGTCAGGGCAGTGAGCACCTCTAGAAAAATGTGACAGCGAAGCTAGCAAGCCATTTCCACAGCAGCTCTGACCTCTGAGGGCTGAGGCCACAGGCAGGCTATAGTTCCCTGTCTTATCTCCTTTCCTGGTTGACCAGCCGTGCGCCCGTGCCTCAGAGATGGACAACGGATCCGAGAAGCAGATCGCCGTTCTGTACCCCGTCGGCGGCGTCGGGCACATCGGCCCGATGACGCAGCTCGCCAAGGTCTTCCTCCGCCACGGCTACGACGTCACCATGGTGCTCATCGAGCCGCCCATCAAGTCGACCGACTCCGGCGCCGGCTTCATCGAGCGTGTCGCCGCCTCCAACCCGTCCATCACCTTCCACGTCCTGCCGCCGATCCCTCCCCCGGACTTGGCCAGCTCCACCAAGCACCCTTTCCTCCTCATACTGGAGCTGATGCGCCGGTACAACGAGGAGCTCGAGAGCTTCCTCCGCTCCATCCCCCGGGAGCGCCTGCACTCCCTCGTCATCGACCTGTTCTGCACCCACGCCATCGACGTGGCAACGAAGGTGGGCGTCCCTGTCTACAAGTTCTTCGCCTCAGGCGCCGGGACTCTGGCCATCTTCGCCCAGTTGCCGGCGCTGCTTGCCGGCAGACAGACGGGCCTCAAAGAACTTGGGGACACGCCCCTCGAGTTCCTTGGGGTCCCGTCCATGCCGGCGTCCCATCTCGTCACGTCGCTGCTGGAGAGTCCGGAGGACGAGCTGTGCAGGACCATGATGCAGATCTTGGAGCGCCACGCGGACACCCACGGCGTTCTGGTCAACACGTTCGAGTCGCTGGAGAGCCGGGCCCTGCAGGCGTTGAGGGATCCCCTGTGCGTTCCCGGCCAGGTGCTGCCTCCAGTTTACTCCGTCGGGCCGTTGGTTGGCACGGGCTTGACGATGGACAAGCAGGAAGGAGGTTCTAGGCACGAATGCCTCGCGTGGCTGGACGCGCAGCCAGAGCGCAGCGTGGTGTTCCTCTGCTGGGGGAGCAAGGGCGCCCTACCAAAGGAGCAGCTCAAGGAGATCGCCGTTGGCCTGGAAAGATGTGGGCAACGGTTCCTATGGGTCGTGCGCACGCCGGCAGGCAGCGACGGGCCCAGAAGATACTGGGAGCAACGTGCCGAGGCGGATCTGGACGCGCTCTTGCCGGAGGGCATCTTGGAGCGGACCAAGGGCCGCGGCCTCGTCGTCACGTCATGGGCGCCGCAGGTGGATGTGCTCAACCACCCCGCTACGGGCGTATTCGTCACCCACTGCGGGTGGAACTCGACGCTGGAGGCGATCGCGGCGGGGGTGCCGATGCTGTGTTGGCCACTGGCGGGCGCGGAGCAGAGGATGAACAAGGTGTTTGTAACCGAGGACATGGGCGTCGGGGTGGAGATGGAGGGCTACATGGCAGGTTTCATCAAGGCTGAAGAAATAGCGGGAAAAGTGAGGCTAGCGTTGGACGCCGAGGAGGGGACGAGGCTTAGGAAACGAGCAGTGCAGCTGAAGAAAGAAACGCAGGAAGCGCTGGAGGACGGTGGCTCGTCGCAGGCGGCATTTCTCCGATTCTTGTCAGATGTTGCAAGTCTTTAGAGAGTAGCTTCGGAAGCGATGTACTCGCTCGCCACCACCGCCAATGGTGTCTCTATTGTCGTGTCGAGCCACGGCTAATTGCCTCGCTCGCCACCACCAACAACCAACATTCCTAGTCGTCCCTATGTGCAAACCAAACACAGGAATGCCCTGCCCCAAATCTAAATTCTAAAAAGCTTCTGGTTGTGTGCATAACTATATGGAAACCGGGACAAAAATTGCTCTCCTAAAAAAATCCTCAGGAGCTGCTTGCTCTTATGGATGATTTCAATGGAAAATCATCGCATCGAAGAAACATTCCACTCTATTTATCTACAACGAACTGGACAAAAACTTTAAACTAAAGATGGTTTATTATATCTATTGCAGATATACTCAGTATGCTAACAAATAGATTTTCCTTTTTACAGAGCCTGTTTGATATAAGAGCTAAAAGGTGGACTATTTGTTTATGAAAATAAAAAACTCAGAGCGTGGTGCCACATCGGTTCCACAGAGACCTATTTTTTTTGAATTCATATATATAATACATACCTTCGAAATCAGAAATGTTCAGAACACAAATATGTGTGCTAGCGCATGCCATGATCCTCATAATAGTCTATTCTGTGTGTTGATGCTTTTTTTTATAAACTGGAGGGCTGGCCCCTGATGCTTGTATTAGATTAAAAAACAAACAAAAACAAGTCCAAGTACTCAACTAGAATCAAAACTTCAAGAGACAGTTAAGTGTTCTAAGAGCTCATGAGCTGGTGGATATAAAAGAAAATGAGAGGGAAAGGATCGAGCTACTCAAGAGATGCAATCCATTGATCATCCCTAGCTCATCTTTCATCTGTGACCTGAGATGTATAGGGATGGATGAGCTTTTATTTAATGACTTCGAGTTCCTTTCGGGTTTTGATTTTAGTTCATCAACATATCCAAAAATTTTGGGTGTTGCCGGATAGCTCATCCCTAGGCATCGTTGGGGCGCTCAGAACCTAAGACAAACGAAGCTATCGAAGCCGAGGCCAATGGAGAAGTTGGGATGTCATCGTCCCATTGGAAAACATGCATGGAGCTTCCACCGGGATAGCCCCTAGCTATTGAAGATGGGGCTGCTCTTGGCCATGATGGAGAACAAGCGGTGAGAGGGATGCCAGTCAAGGTTCTGATGTTAGAACACTATGGTTTTGTTGTAGCACAACATCAACTCATCGGTTTGACCCTACTACTAGTCCTGATTTCTTTTACGGCTTATGAAGTTGCTTAGAATATTCAAATATGACTAATCGACTCTCGTCACCATTTGGCATAGTATGCTTGTTATTTTTATATCTCAATCTCTAGACCTCCGATCAGCGTGATTTCAGTTGTGATAGTCCATAAGTTTTATATATTTTAATGTCACAAAGTTTGAGGTCAGTCAAGATACGGTTTTTTGTAGACATCAACTTTAGTGGAGATGTAGGACTCAGACACTCAAAATTCCTAATTGATCTGTAAGTGTTAAAAAATTTTTTAGCTTAATCATTTACTTTCTTTGCTCCTTATGGGAATTCAAAAACTTAATTCATTGTACGCTGGTCCAAGCACCGAGTCTTGCTTTTCATGATTCAAAAAATCTGCAAAAAGAAAATTCAAGCAGTACCGGTTTGACAATAAAAGATGGTTTGTCTTCCACCGTTCAGCTACTCGTATGCAGAACTCACCTGTTGGCATCCAAAGCGCAAGGTGGACAGCTTTCAGTCTCTCAGAGCCTATTGCTTCCACCACATTTTTAATTCATATATATAAATGTAACTTGAATGTTCGAACACAAAAAGTGGTAGCGATGGACTTTTATCCATCTGTTAGAACTCTGTGATGTTTTAGTGAGTGCAAGCATTTTCTAACTACCATTCAAACTTCAGTGATGGCCTTCAATATAGGTCGGTGCTTGGGCCATGCAGTTGCTCACCTATTCTAAATTTTGGGCCCCTGCAGGCACCCAATTCAATCAAACAGCAGCTCGAAGTCACACCACAGCACAGCTAATTGCCGCGTTTTGTTCTCAGACAAAAGATTTTGAGCCTAATTAGTCAACGATTGACAATTAAGACTAAAACAAAACTACAGTGATTCAAAAGAAACTAAACGCGATAGGAAGCATCGAATTTCTCCCATGCCCAGGGCCAGGGCCACTGCTCACTTTGACTGTGACCTAAACGATGTTTATTTAGGAAATCAAAGGACTCAGACACTCAGTTCCTTGATCTGTAAGCTAGGTGAGTCTTGGCTTTCTTTCTCAAACTGAAAAACTCTGTACGCGGTGCGTGAGTCTTGCTTTTCGTTCTCAAAAACTGCAAAACTCAGCACTACCAGTTTGTCCAGCAGAGGCAACTTCCACCGTTCCTACACGTAAGCAGCTACCAGTTGGCATCCAAACGCAAAACTCACACTTGTATGTCTCCATCTCCGTGGAGTGCAGTGATGGTGAATATAGGTTGCCGCTTGGGCAGCAGCGTTCTCAGCCGGCGCCAATTCATTTGCGGAACTAAACGAGGCACAGCTATGTTTTTCGTTGCCTCCAATAATTGACCGACCAGCGCGCCGGCCGCTGACATGGACAGCGTAGTATCCGCGAAGCAGACCGTCGTTCTGTACCCCGGCGGCGGCGCCGGGCACCTCGGGCCGATGACGCAGCTCGCCAAGGTCTTCCTCCACCACGGCTACGACGTCACCATGGTGCTCCTGGAGCCGCCCATTAAGTCGATCGCGCCCGGCGCCAGCTTCATCGAGGGCCTCGCCGCCTCCAACCCGTCCATCACCTTCCACCTCCTCCCGCCGATCCCGCCCCCTGACTTCGCCAGCGCCACCAAGCACCCTTTCTTCCTCATGCTGGAGCTGCTGGGCCAGTACAACGACAAGCTCGAGAGCTTCCTCCGCTCCATCCCCCGGGAGCGCCTGCACTCCCTCGTCATCGACATGTTCTGCACCGACGCCATCGACGTGGCCGCAAAGGTGGGCGTCCCCGTCTACACGTTCTTCGCGGCGAGCGCTGGAGCTCTGGCCGTCCTAACCCAGACGGCGGCGCTGCTTGCCGGTCGGCAAACGGGCCTGAAGGAGCTTGGAGACACGCCCATCGAGTTCCTTGGCGTCCCGCCGATGCCGGCGTCCCATATCCTCCGGGAGATGCTCGAGGACCCGGAGGACGAGGTGTGCAAGACCATGACGGAGATCTGGAAGCGCGACACGGACACCCGGGGCGTCCTGATCAACACCTTCTACTCACTGGAGGGCCGGGCCCTGCAGGCATTCAGCGACCCGCTGTGCGTCCCCGGCAAAGGGTTGCCTCCTGTTTACTCCATCGGGCCGTTGGTTGGCGAGGGCGGGACGCACAGAGAGGAAGCGGAGAGGCACGAGTGCCTCACCTGGCTCGACGCACAGCCGGAGCGCAGCGTCGTGTTCCTCTGCTGGGGGGGCAGCGGCTTGCTGTCCGAGGAGCAGCTTAAGGAGATCGCCGCTGGCCTAGAGAAGTCCGAGCAACGGTTCCTGTGGGTGGTGCGCACGCCGGCCAGCGACCCGAAACGACTCTGGGAGCCACGCCCGGAGCCGGACCTTGACACCCTCCTGCCGGAGGGGTTCTTGGAGCGGACCAGGGACCGCGGCCTCGTCATCAAGTCGTGGGCACCGCAGGTGGATGTGCTCAACAACCCAGCTATTGGCGCGTTTGTCACCCACTGCGGGTGGAACTCGACGCTTGAGGCCATCGCAGCGGGGGTGCCGATGCTGTGCTGGCCACTGTTCGCAGAGCAGACGATCAACAAGGTACTTATGACCGAGGCCATGGGCATCGGGCTGGAGCTGGAGGGGTACAACACAGGTTTCATCAAGGCTGAGGAGATAGAGAAGAAGGTGAGGCTTGTGTTGGAGTCCGAGGAGGGGAGGGAGATTAGGACGCGAGCAGCAGAGCTGAAGAAAGAGGCACACGCGGCGTTGGAGGACGGGGGATCGTCACAGGCGGCATTTCTCCAATTCTTGTCAGATGTTAAGAATATTAATGAGTAGCTCACTACTTGCTCGGGGAGGGAGTGACGAATCTTTAGCCACTCTTGGTCTTTCTCCAGCATTTTGTCATTCCTCGTTTACTCTTCCCTGTTGTCGAGTTAACCATCTTGTGCCTTTCGAAATACTTCTCTGCGTCATAGTTAGCTTCTCTGGACCAATGGTATCCAACATCTCATCATTATCGATCGAAAAATGTTCAGTGCCTTCACCGGACAGGAACTTTTGTTCCATCACATCTGTGAGACTGAATTTCTCCAGCTGATCTTGCATTTCTTCAGAGGATAACATTTGGTTGAAAGTCCTAGCAGCAGAGTCTCCCCCAATTGGTGCAGCCTCATTTGCAGCCACCTGCCATTATGTTCAGAACCTGTCATTATGTTCAATTGCAAGAAACTCATCTCCTGCAACTGCCAGGGCAGTGCATCGAAAGGAAGAATCACACTGTGATAAAGTTCAACCAAAATTTTGAGGCACTCTTGACTTCCTTGTAGGTGAAATAACAAATGGCTCAAGCAAGATGACATAGAGGTCCCAAAACTAAAATGGAGCACACGTCAAATATGTGGTTTTAATTGTGAACTACATCGAGCAAGTCTCTACATCACCGATATGTGGTTCACTTGTAAAACAGAGTCGAGGGGATTTATGTACCGTGAAAAATTTGTACAGTGCTAACTGGACGAGGGAAGTACCATTTGACTTCAAAATGACAATTTACATCACTTGGCAAAATATTGATTCAATCTTTTCCTAAGGAAGCACTAGTTTCAAAATGAATGACCGTATTGTTAGGATCGTAGATTATCTCTCTGTGTAACCGTAGAACTGGGTAAACCTCTGCTTTGGGTTCCTCTGCACACCTTGATCGTAGCCTCGCGGACGCCGGTGCCGCGGTGTAGTAGCCTCCAGCGCGGTGGAGATGAAATCCAGTGGCGCTGGTGAAGACCGTGGTGACTGTGCAGAGGAGACGGCGGTGTGGTGGATGGGCTTCCCGTCGCTGGCAGCACTACTTTGATCGGTTTAGGTTTACTGTGGGTGGGATGACGGCGGCTCCGTTGAACATCATAGCACGAGCCCTGATCCCCACCTTACCTTTTATCTGTGATGTGCGACAGGGGCCCACCAACCGTATTAGGGTTGGGCTCCTCCGATCAGGGAGCAGAGACAAGGGCCCAATAGGCCGTTGGGCCTATTGGTGGAGATCAACTAACATTCTCCCCATTGATCTCACTACCATCTTTCAATTTCATTTATTTTTGTTCATTCCATTACAGATTAACGCATAGAGCATGTCTCATCGTCACGGTCCATTGCCGATAGACTTAACAGCTACAACACACTATTCTGTTTTGAAATAGATATTTATCTTTGGGCCTTCTTTTGTCCAGGAATTTTAGGCTTTTCCTTAAACTCATGCTAGCTACATGTTCTCTGAACACCATGTTCTCTGAACACGTTGAGTGGTAAGCCTTTTATAAGCGGATCCGCGAGCACCTTTTATGTACTTATATGCTCAAGACTTATGACTTGATCCTGAACTTTATCTTTCACAACATAATACTCTATGTCAATGTGTTTGGCAGCACCACTTGACTTATGTTATGAGCATACTGTACTGCCAGATTATTATCGCAGTATAACTTAAGTGGTCTATAGATGTCGTCAACCACCTTCAAACCGGGTATGAACTTCTTTAGTCAGTTCGCCTGCTTGTTGCCTCATAACACGCTATAAACTGTCACACATTGTGGACGATGTAGTGACAGTTTGCTTTGAGCTTTTTCATGAAATAGCTCCCCTTTGCGAGAGTGAATACATATCTAGACATGGATTTTCTATCATCGCTCGCATAATCAGAATCTGAATATCCCACTATGTGGAGTAAATCAGATCTTCTATATGTCATTATAAGGCCTTTCGTTCCTTGCAAATAACGCAAGACTTTTTTTATCAATTTCAGTGTTCTATTCCAGAATTGCTCTGGAATCTGCCAAGTAACCCGGTAACAAATGCCAAGTCAGGGCGCATACATACTTGAGCATATTGCAAACTTCCAACAATTGAAGCACATGGAACTGTTTTTCATTTGATCGATCTCATATTGGTTCCTGGGGCATTTAAAATCCCCATATCTGTCGCCCTTGACTATAGGAGCAGGTGAGGGACTATATTTGTGCATACATAATTTCTTTAAGATCTTTTTCATGTTTGCCTTTTGTGACAGTCCTAATACCCCTTTACTTCTATCTCGGTGAATCTCGATCCCTAGAACGAATGAGACTTCACCAAGATCTTTCATATCAAGTTTTGAGGACAAAACTTCTTTGTCTCCAGTAGTAGACTGACATCACTACTAGCAAGTAAGATATCATCCATATACAGGATAAGGAAGATAAACTTCCCATTCTTAAACTTTGTATAGACACAATTGTCCTCTATATTTTCTTTAAACCCAAAATTCTTTATTGTCTGATCAAACTTCAAGTACCATTGTCTTAAAGCTTGTTTTAATCCATAAATGGATTTCTTTAGGCGGCATCCTATTCGTTCTTTTCTTTCCATGACAAAACCTTTTGGTTGTGCCACGTAAACATTATCCTCCAAGTTTCCGTTGAGAAATGCCGTCTTTACATCCATCTGATGTAATTCTAAATCGTAATGTGCCATTAATGTCATTATGATTCTGAAGGAAACTTCACATGAGACTAGAGAAAAGGTCTCATTGTAATCAATCCCTTCTCTTTGCATAAAGCCTTTTGCCACAAGTCGACTTTATATCTCTCTATATTTCCTTAAGAGTCAAGTTTTGTTTTGTAGACCCATTTACAGTCTACTGTTTTGGCTCCTTTAGTAATTATCTCCAAATTCTAAACTTTATTGGCATTCATTGATTTTATTTCATCTTCCATGGCCTCAAGCCACTTTGATGAATGATCACTTCTCATGGCTTCTTAAATAAGGTGGAATCATCCTCCATTTGAAATTCCTTAGTGTTATACACTTCATAATCAGCATAAATAACTGATTTTCTAACTTCTTTGAGACCTTCTAGGGGCCTTCACATTTGGCACATGTTCTGTTTGAGACTGTTGTTGCTCCCCCTCATGTGTGGCAATAGGTTTTATAGGATCCTGAAGAACAGGTTTCTCATCGTCATTCATTGTTGCCATAGGTGGGATAACAACAGGTGCTGGCACCATAGTGTCTTGCACTGTCGGTGCAGCGACAGCAGGTAGTGAGAAAAATGGCTCATGAATCATTGGAGTGGGCGCATACACCCGCTTCACTTCAAGGTCAATTTCGTGAGCTACCATGCTCCCCCTCATCAATTCATCCTCTAGGAAGACAGCGTGTCTTGTTTCTACAAACTTTATATGTCTCTCTAGACAGTAGAAAACGAAAACCTTTTGACTTTTCTAGGTAGCCAAACAAATGGCAACTTACTATTTTGGGATCTAACTTCCTAATGTTTGGGTTAAAATACTTTAGCCTCAGTAGGGCTCCCCCACACACACGCAAGTAGTTTAGTGATGGTACTCTTTCTATCCACAACTCATATGGTGTTTTGGGCCTGACTTTCTTGATACTCTATTGAGAATATGAATGGCGGTTTTAACGCCTCCATCCACAGGCTCAACTGTAAGGTGGAGTAACTTATCATACTGCCCACCATATCCATAAGGGTACGATTAATTCTTTTAGCTACTCTATTCTGCTGAGGTTCGCCCGGTGTAGAATACTGGGCTACTATGCCATTCTTTTAGGGTATGCCGACCGTAATACTCCCCCACGGTTAGACCTAACTATCTTAATCTTTAATATCTTAAATTTATCCAATGCTTCTGTTCTTTCTTTGATTGGATAAATATAGCCATAATGGGAGTAATCATTTGTGAATGTTATGAACGAATCATAACCATCCACTCATTATAGGAAAATAACCACAGATGTCTATGTGAATAATCTATAAAATTCCTACGCTTCGTTTATCATCTTTCTTTATATACTTTCCTTTTATGCATTCTCTGCATTGTTCTAAATCTCTAAATCTAAGAGCTCTAATGGAGGAAGAATATCATTCTTAACTAGTCTTTCTATTCTCCCCCTCGAAATATGGCCTGAACGACAGTACCATAATTTCGACGACGCATCTTGAGCTCTCTTATGCCATCATTTTCAGAGTAACTCTCTGTCACCAGCTGCTTTATCAGCTGGGTAGCATATATCTTTGAAGAGGCAGTGAACTGACTCTTTATTCTATCGAGGTACTCGGTGACCGTGTCACACTCTGGGATTGAGTCCACAATTACAGACTCAATCGTGTTCTTTATTACAGCCAAACATTTCATGTTGACAGTGACCCACTTCCTATACTCAAAGTCATAGGACATCTTTTGGGATTTAAAATCCCTTTCTTTAGTTGCCTAATCAGCATCATTCTCTTTTGTCTCCCTCACGGGTACCACATACTTAGTGGGACACGGTGAGGTGACTACCCAGTCCACCTCAGTCAAGATGAAAACCATGTTAAACCTTTTCTTAACATAAAAATAACACCATTTGCATGCCTTGATTCCAATGTTGGTCAAAATCAAAACATACAACTGTTCGTATACACTAATTCTACATCACCGTTGGGCAGAAATAGAATTAATGTATAAAATCATTAAAATTCACAATTGTTCTTACACACTAATTCTACATCACCGTTGGACAGAAATAGAATTAATGCATAAATCATTAAAATTTTACAACTGTTCTTATACACTAATTCCACATCACCGTTGGGCAGAAGTAGAATTAATGCATAAATCATTAAAATTATGATATTGTTATTAACAACGTTGGTCAGAAAATAACAACATCATAATCATATCAAAACTCTTTTTCTCCAATTAAATATCACATTGGTTCAAATAACTGGAGAATAAACATTTTCTTTAGCAGCGGAAAAACTTTCTTTTTCTCTAATTAAATATCTTGTTGGTACAAATTAACTG